TAATGTTACATTAAGACTTTTGTTTTGTTTTAACCCAATTAATGTCCATTTTATTCATTCCTTTTCTTAATAACCATCTACAGATGGCTACCCTCATTTTTCATTTCTTTTTTGTTGTTGTTGTTGTTGTTTTGAGACAGAGTCTCGCTCTGTCGCCCAGGCTGGGGTGCGGTGGCCGTGATCTCCACTCACTGCAAGCTCCGCCTCCCGGGTTCACGCCATTCTCCTGCCTCAGCCTCCCGTGTAGCTGGGACTACAGGCGTCCGCCACCGCGCCCGGCTAATTTTTTTATTTTTAGTAGAGACGGGGTTTCACCGTGTTAGTCAGGATGGTCTCTATCTCCTGACCTCGTGATCCGCCCATCTCGGCCTCCCAAAGTGCTGGGATTACAGGCCTGAGCCACCGTGCCTGGCCTCATTTTGCATTTCTAAAGGAATGGCATTTAAGTATGATAAGGTAAAGAACTGACATTTAAAAGGCACAGAATGCAGACTTCAGACCTAAATACTATCATTTGCTGAAATAAATAAGGGTGGGGGTAAAAGTCCATTAAGACAACATGATTGTGAAAAGCATCTTAAACATAAATACAAGGCTTGCTATGTAGATTTAAGCCAATGCCTTTTCTCTAATGTAAGAGTTTCTATAATTTTAGTCCTGGCGCATGGAGGGAGGATTCCCTATACATGGAGATTTGATGCAACTTTTTCTTATGAAAAGGTCTCAAAATAACTGACCAGAGTTAGTCATTGTGCCATAAAGGCATATTTTGGTTGTATCAGTGTCTTCCCAACACAGTTTGTGTTTTTTAACTAGATTACTGAATTCAGAGTTAAACCTATTAACACGGAGGGCAGAAAAAGCATTTTCTGTGTCTGGACTCAACATGCATAGACCAGAATGTTTTAAAAATAGTGCTTTTAATCTTACCTTATAGTCAGAGCCTGGTTCATTCTTTTTCTATCTATAAAATTGACTTGCAGTCCTTTCACGACTTTTTTTTTTTTTTTTTTTTTTTTTGAGAAAATACTTTGGGGATGGTTTCTTGGGATTTTCTAGAACAGCGATGCCTTTAACCACTGCTCTGAGCTCAAGATCTTGACCAAGATATAAAGGTGCTTAAAGAAGCACGTCTGATTGATTTGAAGGCCTAACTTTACAAGACATTTATCTACCTTTATTTTGTTCCTTGAGGAGGGAAGCCAACTAAGTAAAAGGTTAGTAGGCAGAGGAGGAAAGAGAGGGACAATAGGGGTTTCATCAGTCTTACAGTCTTTTGTAATGAATATTTTAGTAAAGTTGTTTTAGAATCCTGAGGTCTTATAGAAACTACTTCATATCAATGAAAATAGATGTACCATTCTCTATGCCTAATTTGGGAGTGCTTATTTTCATGTACACTTCTTAGATGGATGATTTTGTGCAATTGTAGCATTCTTCATAAAAGCCATTGCAATTCTAAATTATCTTTAGTAAGGTCTTGCCATTTTTTTTGGAAGATATTTACAGCTTCCAGGAACATACATTTTGAGCATAAGAGAAGCAGGTATACCAGAAGATAGAGTACTGGATGCTTTAGAATGTAAAGATTCCATTCTTGTATTGTGTCTTGGGTTTCTTGGAGCTGAGAAAAAAAAAGCCCAAGATGATAGTGCTACACTGTTGTGTTGTATGATATTTTATAGTATTCTTCACTGAATGGAAATTTTTCTTGAAGCTGGCAAGTGGCAAGTACACTAGTGTCAAGCGAACCCATTCTGTCACCAACTTATCCTAACACAGGAATCTTAGTTTTAGGTGGCAGACACTTTAACAGCTTTTAAGTGTTTGATCCATGCTCATCAGTCAAGTTGTGGCTCATCTCTGAGATTCCTTTGACCAATCTAGTCAATGATTTTCCTTACCTTTGCATATAAGACAAGAAACAAGAAGGAGAGAAACAAAATCCCTGTGAATGTGGCAGCAGCTATCCTTTACCTCTAAAGCTGCAGCCCTTTTCTGTCTGATGGATCACCACAAAACACCCAAAGGTCATATGCTTTGCTACAGCACAAAAGGACCTTGAACTGGAAAGCCAAAAGTATCAGGGAACTCAACTAAGAGAGTAGAGCTGAAATTCAAGAGGAACTTACTGACAAATTCTGGGTTTGGTGAGGAAGACAGAGAAGTCTAAAGGAGCCAGCAGTCACCTCACTTGCATACCTCATGGGTTACAGGGATAGCCACAAGGCTCCTTCAGATACTATCTTCAAAGACTGTCAAAGAGCAGAATCCTAACAAGCTGAGTTTCAAAGATCTAACTGATTTTAAATATAATTTGTGAACCAGGCAGCACCCAGTAGACATAAGCTGTGTTAGGTAAATTTATCAGAAATGAGGAAACAGCAATAGTGCAAAAACAGATTTGTTAGCATCAGGCTACATTCTTTATATGGGTTAAAGCAGAGAGGACTTTCTTATTATGCTAACTTAGGTTAACTGGGCCCCTTTTGATTGGTTACTGAGAATGTTCTGTTTTTTTGAAAACTGGCCTGCTTGGCTATTATCTCTCCCCTGATTCTGAAAGGTCAGATATTTCAAGTAAACAATTTAGGTTTTAGTTTATTGACATGAAACTTTAGCATAAGTCACCCCATTCGAGGCCTTACATCCTTTTCTTTTAAAAAAAATTGTAACTGTTATAATTATATTTCAATATTTAGTTGTTAAAATCAAAGTTGAAAACTGTTTAGATGCATGGGATTTTCAAGTGGGGAGAACTCTGCTCTTTCTTTGGGTAAACTCTGTATCTTCATATTTTTGTTGTGGGGGAAAAGTACTATTAATAAAATATGTGGTTGGAGTGTTAATTGGGGACATTAAAATATTGCATTTAATCTCTCTCTTTTCAGGAGCTGTTCCCTTTCAAAAAGCCCCTTACTATAACCTACTTACAGTGGAGAGATGTACCACTGATCTCCTTGAAAAGAGGAGAAGATTTGGAAGTTCTAACTCCTTTTTTTGATGTTGTTTTTAAAAAGCTTTATTGAAATGTAATTTACATTTTAAGATGTTAAACCATTTGAAATGTAAAATTCCATGGTTTTTAGTATATTTACAGATTTGTGCAAACAATAATTACAATAATCTAATTTTAGAATATTCATCACCTTACAAAAAGACTTTGTATCCATTAGCGATTACTCCCAATCCCTCTGCCTCTACTTTCCTGTACCATAGGCCAAGCAATCACTAATTTATTTTCTGACTGTACAGATTTTTCTGTTTTGCACATTTCATTTAAATGGTATCATACAATATGTAATGATTTATGACTTTATTTTTTCATTTACCTTAGTGATTTTTAAGTTTATACATGTTATGGCATAGATTAGTACTGTATTTCTTCTTACTGTAAAATATTATCCTATTGTATCACAATTTGATTACCTATTCATTAGCTGATGGACATTTCACTTTTCCCACTTTTAAGCTATTATGAATAACATTGCTGTAAACATTTGTGTACAAGTTTTTGTGTGGCCATGCATTTTAATTCGTATTGGGTAGGTGTGAAGAATGAAAACTGCAAATTGTTGGATTATAAGATAACTCCATTTCACGTTTGACAAACTGTCTTCAAAAATGATTGCTCCATTGTATATTTCCATCAGTATGCATAAGAATTCCAATTTCTTCACATCCTCACCAACACTTGTTATTGTGTGTCTTTCGTATTACAGTGATTCTAATGGATGTGAATTTGTTTCTCATTGTGGTTTTGGTTTACATTTCCCTAATACACAATGAAGTTGAGAATATTTGCATTTGTGTATTATTCATTTGCATATTTTATTTGGAGATATGTCTATTCACATTATTTGCACATGTTTTAATTAGGTTGCCTTTTTGTTGTTTAGTTGTAAGTGTTCTTTATATATTCTATATACTAGATCTTTATGGGATATAATATTTTGCAAATATTTTTACTATGTCTGAAGGTTGTCTTTTTGTTTTCTTGATGGTGTCATTTGAAGCATAAAGTTTTTAATTTTGAAAACTTAATATTTCTCCATTTGATTTTCTTGGATTCTTCTTCAAATATTAATTGACTATAAATGTTAGAATCTATCTATGGGCACTCAATTTCACTGATCTGTAAATCTAACAAAAGGTCAGTAACAAATTGCCTTGGTTACTGTAGTTTATAGTTAGTTTTGAAATTGAGATATGTGGGTCCTCCAACTCTGTTTTTATTTAAAATTGTTATGGACATTCTGAATCATTTTCATTTTTCTACACTCTATTTCTGGATCATGTTCCATGGGCACTTAAAAAGTATGAATATTTTGCTGTTTTATAGTGAAATGTACTATAGATATTTATTGCCTTATAATTTTGTTATAGTCTTCAATATCTCTGTTGATTTTTGGCCCAGGTATTCTATTATCGAAAGCTGTTTACTTAAGTCTTTAAATATGACTGTTGAATTTTCTATTTCTCCCTTCAATTCTGTTGTTTTTTACTTTGTGTAATTCTCTGGCTCTGTTTTTGGATGTATACATGTTTATAACTTTTATATCTTCCTGATATAAATCCTAGCTCTCTTATTATTGCTGTTTGTATGGTATATCTTTTAAATTCCTTTACTTTTACGTGAATTGTATCTTCAAAAATGTGCTATGTCTCCTATAAACACATCTAAACATTACAGTTTAGAGCTGAAACTTTCTTTTAATAATTATTATAATTATTTTATTGATAGTAGAATTATACCTTTTTTTATAATGTTTACAATTTTTAAATTTCTATGGAAAAAATATAAATTCCAATTCATATTTTTCAGTTTTTTTACTGAGCATATAACATATCATTTGTATAAGAAAATAATGTCTAAAACCAACATGCTTGTAATTTAAATAATTTCTTACTTCACCAAACTGAATTTTAAATGAAACAATAACAATCATTAAACGTTAAACAATATATATTCATATCTAAAAGATAATTATGTTTTACAGTATAATCATATGGGGTCTGGTACAACTGTTGTCACACAAAAGATTTTCCAGTTGATTGGATTGACGAATGCTGTAAGTGTTTGCTTCTTAGTACTTTCGCACTTCTTGTGTCACTAAAACAATTTCTATACCTCCTTATGACACTACGTGAATCCGCATGTTGTGTAGTGTCAGGGAAATTAAGTTTTATTTTAAATTCTACTTATCTGAAGTAGGAATAATAATAATTGTATGCACCTAATTTGGTTACTGTAAGACTTAAATTACATAAAGCAGAGGGTATGGGGCTTCCTTAAATGCAAGCATTATAAAATCTCAAGTATTACTTTCATTATTAGTAACATTTTAAACTTACTAATATACTTTAAAAGATCAAATGCAGGCTTACAGTTTAGTTGCTTAATATCTGTCATAAATTTGTTTTCAAACATATATATCTAATTTTTAAAAACTGTGACGTTCAAACATATTTTTGTGTTTTCTATTTTAGATTTTTGTTTCACTTAATATTACAGTTATTCTGTCTTCATTGGAGCTTTGGATAGATGAAAATAAAATTGCAACCACTGGAGATGCTAAAGAGTTATTACACACATTTTTAAGATGGAAAAGATCTTATCTTGTTTTACGTCCTCATGATGTGGCATTTTTACTTGTGTAAGCATATCTTGACATTATATAAAGTTTACCTGAAGAAAATATATGCAATTTGACCCAGTATCTGACAGTTGATAAATGTGTATTTAAAAACCTATTTTTTTCTTACATACACCATTTAAATATTTTTCACAACATGGTATTTATAACAGAATTACTGATATCAATGTGTTTATTGGTTTGAAGTTAAAACTCACTCGTCAATCTTGTTCCCATATTACTTCTTTCCCAAGAGTGTATACCACCTTCTTGAATATCTCACACAATGCATAAAATTTTCACAATATCTATTCAGAGAAACATCTGAATTCTATCAATACAGTAATTCAGTCTTCTTGTTATGATTTGTTGTTATAAATTAAGAAGTAAGCAAAGAAATTGAAACACTATGTTTTAATATCTCTAATATATCTGCCTTGTGCTTAAGGTTTTAGTACATTAAACTTCCTATTTAATAGACTCTGTTTTTCTTTTATCAATATTCAGAAGATATATATATGTGCGTATATAGGTATATCTATCTATCTATCTATCTATCTATATATATATATAGAGAGAGAGAGAGACAGAGAGAGAGTTTTAAAGATTATACATGGAGTTTTAAACATTTTACTTTTTATCTTCTGTCCCCTAAATATAACATGCCTTTTTCATGTCTCTGGAAGGCTAATTTTGTCTGAATAACTAGAGACTTTTGTCCATAGAGTGATTCTGCTCATTAACCAGTTGCATTACTTTAGCTTTTTACTTTTAAGGAATTTTATTTATTTTTATTATTTTTTGTTTTTTCCTTCAGTTTTTCTGTTTTAGTTTTTTTAAATCTACATAAAATAAATCTTTGTTATGTTACAGAAATCCATATGAAAATACACTTTTCATTATTTGTTCTTAAAATCTATTTTATTGTTTTTAAAAGAAGTAGAAAGACTTAGTCACATCTTATGCTATGCTACATTAATGTTAGATAGAAATATTAATGATATCATAAATGTAAAATTTGTTTTATAAAAATTCATATTAATTTTTACAAAATTATGTGATTATGATCCCTTTTTAAACTTAAGTTACAGAGAAAAGTCAAATTATGTTGGTGCCACCTTTCAAGGGAAGATATGTGATGCAAACTATGCAGGAGGCGTTCTTCTGGTATGGTATGGTTATGTATAGAAAGTATGCTTGGGAGGCCGAGGCGGGCAGATCACCAGGTGAGGAGATGGAGACCATCCTGGCTAACACAGTGAAACCCCTTCTCTACTAAAAAATAAAAAATAAAAATTAGCCAGGCGTGGTGGCAGGCGCCTGTAGTCCCAGCTACTCCGGGGGCTGAGGCAGGAGAATGGAGTGAACCCGGGAGGCGGAGCTTGCAGCGAGCCGAGATCGCGCCACTGCACTCCAGCCTGGGCTACACAGCGAGACTGTCTCAAAAAAAAAAAAAAAAAAAAAAAAAAAAGGAAGGAAAGAAAGTATGCTACATAAATTAGTATACAGTTATGCATTTTCATAGTTAACTTTTATGTATATTAAAATTTGCATTGTTTTAAGTGTCTTTGTCACTGTTGCTGATAGAAATGTTTATAAGAAGTGCTCATTGAATTCACTACATATAAAAATTTTTCAATTTCCTATCATGAGTTCAAGATATCCTTTCTAGAAAGTTAAGGTAGTGAACTAGTTTACTTTTACTGTAAAGTGCTCTTCAAGTTTTCATAATCTTAATATTTAATAATTAACTTTGGCTAAAACTTAGATTTTGTATGTTTTCCTAATTATATACCGAACATAATTATGAACCAGATTTAAATAAAACATTTGAAAGTATCAGTCGCCTTAAAATGCTTCATAGGGTATAAGTAAAGAATAAAACAGAACCAAATGTCCTAATTGACATTAATTATCTTAGAGAATGTTAGTGTATTCAAAACTGATATTTTTTGCTGTTATTTCATAATACTATCACTATTCTGAAAAACAGAACTTGCCTTTTTGTTGTGTGAGTGTACAATATCTACTGGAGTTTCACAGAGGCAATGAACAAATGAAGTGAAGCTAAGTGAAGCAATAAAGAGATGAATCAATTAAACGGAGATAAAAATAATTTCAACTTCTATTTTAGATTTAGGGCATACATGTACAAATTTGTTACCTGGGTATATTGCAAAATGCTAAGGTTTCATATATGATTGATTCTATCACCCAGGTACCAAGCATAGTACCCACTAGTTAGTTTTTCAACCCTTCCTCCAACCCCAGGTAGTTCCTGGTTTCTAGTGTTACTATCTTCATGTCTAAGTGGACCCAATGTTTAACTCCCACTTATGAGTGAGAACAGGCAGTATTTGGTTTTCTGTTCCTGAGTTAATTCATTTAGAATAATAGTCTCTAGCTGCATCCATGTTGCTGCAAAGGATATGAATTTTTTTACGGCTGCATAGTATTCCATAGTTTATATGTACTACATTTTCTTTATCCAATCCACCATTTATGGACACTTAGGTTGATTCCATCTCTTCGTTATTGTAAATAATGCTGTGATAAACATGTAAGTGCCAGTGACTTTTTGGTAGAATGATTTTATTTTCTTTCTTTCTGTCTTTTTTTTACTCATTTTTTTGAGACAGAGTCTCTCTCTGTCACCCAGGCTGGAGTACAATAGTGCTATCTCAGTTCACTGCAACCTCCACCTCCCCAGGTTCAAGCAGTTCTCCAGCCTGTCTCCCAAGTAGCTGGGATTACAGGCACTTACCACCAAGCCCAGCTAATTTTCGTGTTTTTAGTAGAGACGGGGTTTCGCCACGTTGGCTAGGCTGGTCTCGAACTCCTGACCTCAGGTGATCCACCCGCCTTGGCGTCCCAAAGTGCTGGGATTGATTTATTTTCTTTTGTATATATACCCAGTAGTAGTATTGCTGGGCTGAATGGTAGTTCTGTTTTAAGTTATTTGAGAACTCTCCAAACTGCTTTCCACAGTTTCTGAACTAATTCCAGTTCCCCCTAACAGTGTATAAGCAGTCCGTTTTCTTCATAGCCTCATCAGCGTCTGTTGTTTTTATATTGTAATAAGAACCATTCTGACTGGTGTGAGATGGTGTTTCACTAAGTTTTGATTTGCATTTTTGTAATGATTAGCTGCTTAACCATACAGAAGAATAAAACTAGATGCCTTCCTTTCACCATATACAAAAATTAACTCAAGATGGATTAAATATTTAAATGTAACTCCTCAGACCACAAGGATTCTAGAAGAAGACCTAGGAACCACCATTCTGGACTTTGGCCTTGCCAAATAAAATATGACTAAGCCCTCAAAAACAATTGCAACAAAAGCAAAAATTTACAAGTGAGATGTACTTAAACAAAAGAGCTTCTGCACAACAAGAAATATCAACAGAGTAAACAGACAGCCTACAGAAAGGGAGAAAACATGCACAAATTATATATCTGACAAAGGCCTAATATCCAGAATCTATAAGGTAGTGAAACAATTGAACAAGCAAAAAACAAATAACCCCATTAAAAAATGAACAAAAGACATGAACAGACACTTCTGAAAAGAAGACATACAAGTGGCCAACAACATATGAAGAAAATGCTCCAACAAAAATTGATCTTCAATATTTATAAACAAGTTTGGAGAATGTGGCTTATACTTACGGTCAAGTGAGTCATCTGGTCTCAAATGCTGGAATTTGATTTGTTTATTTCATCACATGCCATAGTAAGAAATCATAAGACTCTCCCGTGGAGAGTGTAAGGCCTTCATTGATTAACAAAGAGGAGAGCAGAACTGATTTTCTCTACAGGGCAGGATTCCAGCATGGGCAACATAGTAAGAACTCATTTCTACAATAATTTTTAAAAATACAAATATTAGCCAGGCATGGTGGAAGGCCCCTATAGTCCGAGCTGAGGTAGGAAAATCACTTAAGCCTAGGAATTCAAGGCTACAGGGAACTAGGATTTCACCACTGACTCCAGCCTGGGCAACAGAGCAAGACCCCGTCTCAAAAATAACAACAAAATTTTTAAATTAAAGACAGGCTAGCTACCAGGAAGAAGAAAATGCCATAGTTTACTGGACAGTTTATGCCTCATGGGCAGAGAAGAATGGTCTCTTTAGTGACGACAATTGGAAGAAAGCTTTTCCAGTATTCTTTCTTATTCTCCACAGTTATTTTGCCTGCCCATTTCACTGGAAAAATCAGCTATAGCCAATGTCCACAGAAGTGAGATGTTGAAGAAAATAGTTGAAGTTCTGCCTTTTGATGTTTAAATTCCCACCACCCTTTCTACCCAATCCTGCAGGGCTATAGATTGCAATTTAGAGTCTGTATACTTCTGATGCTGCTCCTTCCTAAAAGTTTGTATGTGAAACCACAACACAACTGGTTTTTGGTGGAGTACAAACAAGAAAGAATAATCAGCATATGATTTTTCACTTAAATTTTTTTTTTTCTTTTTTTTGAGACAGATCTCGCTTCTGTTGCTCAGGCTGGAGTGCAGTGGCGCGATCTCAGCTCACTGCAACCTCTGCCTCCCGGGTTCAAGCGATTCTCCTGCCTCAGCCTCCTGAGTAGCTGGGACTACAGGTGCCCGGCACCATGCCTGGCTAATTTTTTGTATTTTTAGTAGAGACGGGGTTTCACCATGTTAGCCAGGATAGTCTCGATCTCCTGACCTTGTGATCCGCCCACCTCGGCCTCCCAAAGTGCTGGGATTACAGGCATGAGCCACTGTGCCTGAACTTAAAATATTTAATTGACAAACATCATATATATTCAAGGGGTACAGTTAGACAATTATGTATCTTTAGATATAGTCATGTTAGGGGTCACTGTTTCAATATATGAATTTGGAGTGGGAGGGACACAATTTAGTCCATAGCAGTAGTCTTAAGGCAGGATGTTCTAGAAGAAATAAAGAGGAATATATAATTATGATGAACTTTTGAAGGGGAAGATAGCAATCATAATGTTGTATGCGTCTAATTACATTGCTTCAAAATATATACAGCAAATGTGAGAGAATAAAGGAAAAAGAGATCCATAATCGTATTTAAGAATGGAAAAAAGCAACCTACCTCAGCAATGTAATTTTTCATTTCATCAAAGTATATATTTCTAAAATATTATACCAAAGAGCAACATAATACTAATATAGAGTATTTACCAAAACAAATAATATGGTGAGAAATAAGGCAGTATCAGTAAATATTAAATGATTGAAATCTTACAGAGAAAAGTGTCTGACAATTGTGGATTTAAATGAGAATCAAATAATAGAAATATCACTTAAAAATCTCAAAAGATTGGCAAATAAAATAATGAGATAACTCATTTTGAGCTAAGTGGCATTAAAAATATAGCATATCTAAACTTATGGGATCCCAAAAAGGCAGAACTGAGAGGTAATGCATTTATAGCTTTAATGTATAAATAAAAATAGTTAATTTGAATGTAGATTATCTAACTCCACCTCCAAAAAGCATATAGATGGTGAGTTAAGCTAAGAGACGCTAGAAAGTAGGAAATAAGTTTTAAGGATAATATTGGCTATCAATGAAATACAAAATATAATGAAGAAAATCATCAAAGATCAAACTAATATTTTTGATATGTACAATTTATAACAACCTACCAAAACAGGTATCTTATTTCAAAAAAACTGAAAAAACAAATTATCCAAATATTAGTTGAATAAAGGGACACGTACATATAAGATGGCATATCCTCAACCAATTAATGGCAATAAATATGGATAAAATTTTATGAATAATACATTTTCTCAAGTAAATAGAAAAGTAAATCTGAATCACCATTGAACCATTGGCATAGTTGAGTCTATAATTAAAACACTTTCCTCCAAAACAAACAAAAATTCTAGACCCACATGATTTCCATAAAATTGGCTCCAAAATATTTAATGCTTGTAATAAGTTACTTTAGATAATACAAAAGGAGGGGCTAATTCTCACCTTGTTTTATGATTTGAGATTTATGTTAACAAAAAGAATTCTGCAATATATCAAAATGGATGACATGGTGAACACATAGAAATTATTCTAGGAATACAAGATGAATTTTATATTTGAAAATCAATCATTATAATCTACTTTATTAAAAAATATATACAGAAAGATACATTTGTTA